GAAAACGGTGAAGAATTTGAAGGAGAAGATCGTCGTTGAGTTCTTCTATGTCTGTGGGCTTTGAATGCTTTTCTGTGACCTTTTCCATGATTAGTTGCTATATCTTCTAAATCAAAATAATGTGCCTCGCTGCCTTTATATAGGGTATCGAAGAGATTAAACTTGATTTTATAATAATTACATAAAATATGTTCTTTAAAAGAGTTTTTTTAATTAATTTTTATTTATTTTATTTATCTTTTAAAATTAATATTTTAAATTTAGATACAACATTAATCCTTAATCCGTAAACATTCGATAGTTTCGGTTTTATTTAATATTTTTAATATTTTTCTATCCCTTTATTTTCCTCTTTTTCTTCAAGTATAAATAACCTTTTTCATATGACATGTATTTACGGAAAGATATATTTATTTTTAATACAATTAATTTAAAGAGTTTTAAGATTTTTTAAAAATTTAAATTTTAAATTTAGTAACTGAAAATAAATTTCATATCTTTAAAGAGATAAAACATATCTCTTAACAAAACTACTATATTTTGTAGATTTTGTCCTTTTCATACGATATTAGAATCAAAATTGTGATTCATAAAAATAAAACTAAAACGCTGAGAAATTATTTAGATATAAAATTTATATGAGAAAAAAAATTAAAAAAATATTAATTATTAAAAACATCTTTTTATCACTTTTTTTTAATAATTCTTCTTAATTTTTAGTTTTTTTTATCATTTCACTTTTACTATTTAATACTTTTTCCTTTTATTCTTATAAAAAATTATAAAACTATGAAGTTAATTATAATAACATTCCTCTACCATGCTGCTGTATCACTTCCCCTACTCACCTTATGACGAGGGGTTAGTATGCCCCTTGTCATCATAGTTCACAAATTTGGTTTTATAAATTTATTAAAATGTTAAATTTTAATTTTTCTAAAAATAAATTAATTTCTCCAAATTTTTTATTTATGAGATTTTAAGTATTACTGACCGTTTTTAATGGATTTTAGAGATATTTTTAAGTTAAAGAATCAAAGAAAGTAATATATATATATATATATATATATATATTATCATGGTTATTTTATTAATAAAAATATTAAATATTTTCAATCTAACTGTTGAATTAAAAAATTAAAATAAATTAAGTCTATAAAAAGTTATAAAAGTTAAAGATTAATCAACTGTTTGTTGAAATGATGTGCATTATTGACATTAAAAATTGTATTTTTAAAATATAAAAACATTTTAACTATAGATGTAAACTATATTAATAATTATAACGTTAATAAAATTATATATTTATCTATAATATATTTTTTATTCAACTATTGAATTGTAATTATATATTATATTAATTATTTGAGTCAAATTTTATCAAAATTAAAATACTTTAAAATCATAATTAAAATAATGTTTTAAAATATATGTTACAATAATTTTCAATGTGTATGAAACATGTATCAAATAGTTTTAGATTAATTTAAAATTTTGTAAACATATATACATGTACGATAGTTGTTTTAAATTCAATAGTTAATTAATTTTATAATTAAGATTTTTAAATAAATATTATTAAAAGTATAGTAATTAATATAACTTACTCTGTGTGGAACATATCTAGCTAAATGTTAATTAAAAATGTGTGCATATTTCAATATATATATATATATATATATATATATATATATATATATATATTAAATAATAGAGAATTTTAGGACAACTTGAAGGTAGAAACCTTAAATATACTCTTCCTCTCTTTCTGACACACTCATGAGTTGGGTTTTCATTAACTTAAGCATTGGACTTTATGCGTAGTGTAAAGTCCAACACTCGATCTCACACTAACAAAGAGCAAAAAGAAAATGCGTAGTGTAAATTTATTCTTCTAGTTTAAGTTAATGCAATTTCACTTTATGCAACTGTGTAGGAATAAGAGTTTATTTAGAAAGTGTTAAGTTTATTTGTTATTGCATTAAAGAAAATACTAGATTGTATTTTTATATACATATATAGTACATATTCACTATCATAATTTTATATTAAATAGACATATTTTATTAATAATTTTTAAATAATTACAAATAGATAAAATCTGTCTGCAATTTATATAAATAAATTTTTAAATTTATCTATAAATTTATAACTAGATTTTTCTATATGTAAATCGGTCTGTTAATTTATAGACAATTTTTTTATTATATTTATTATAAATAAAGTTTATTATTTATAAAATTATAGACATATTTTTTTATTTATAATAAATTAATTTATAACAATTATTTTATTTATATTTCTTATATTACTTCATCATACGCATATTCTATTATCATTTTTCTCATTTCATTTATTACTTTTTTAAAACAACACTTTTCATTCTCAAAAGTTCTATTATTTTTACATTCTAACATTTTTTCTCCTTCAAATTAAACCTCACTGTCCTTCCACAATTTCAGCTTTCTTTAATTTGATACATATAAAAATATATTTATTCTAAAAAATTTTAATGCGACACTATTAATTTTAACCAACAATCTTAAAATATTAATTAATAATATCCTTATTTTATTATAAACATTTTATTGATTTTTTTTTCATTCGATTTGATCGGTAGGAATGTGATCCAAATCGTGCACCTGACACTTTATTGATATTTGATAATGCTTTACATTACAGAGTTATAATGCTAAGTGATCATGAAATTTCCTAGAGTTTGAATCCAAGACACAATTGAGCAGTGTCCTAAAATGTAACAAATTATATATCATACATTAATTGCAGATGTATATATTGTATTATACGTAATATTTATTTAAAATATTCTTTTTATAATTATGAAATTATAACATTTGGATCATACAAATCCAAAAATTATAAAATTCATCACTTGTGCGTCTCTAGATTCTTTTCCACACATGGACAGTGTTAATTAACATCTATATGTTGGTAAACTTTGCGCATTTAATATTTACGTATATTAAATTTTATCAATTTAATTGTCAATTTGTTAAATATTATTTCCATGATTATATGTATGTTAAATTATTAATTATATAAACCTTTTTAAATATTTAATTTAATATGGAAATTTTCTTTACATTGTAAACAATATAAGTATACATTAAAATAAAGTACTATGATAAAGTATTAGTTAATTTTAGCTATAAAATTTTTAAAAATTAACTTATTTTTCCAGAATGTTTACTTTTGGATTAATAAAATTAATATTTATAAAAATTATTAAAAGAATAAGTTTGTTAAGTCTAAAACATTGTGTTAATTGGCTATTCTTTTATGGCAAGGATTCGCGGAACTTACTTTTTTTATAATAATTTTGAATAAATATTAAGTTTTGTTAATTTAATTATTACATCGACAAAATTTATTAATTAGATAAATTAAAAAATGTAAATAATTTAAAATTCAATCAATATTTCTTTAATTGAATATTTTATTTTATTTTATGTATAATATGTATTTTAAAAAATATATAAGTTGATTTGGAATACTATTATGAATTCAATTTAAATTAATGCATTATATTGAAGATTTGATTTGTGTAAACCAAATCTTCAAATTCTAAAAGCAGTGACGTCAAAATCCAAACTTTGACATGATGGATGATAAAATATAAATATTGAATTTTATTAGTTTATTAATTATATTATTAAAAAAGAGTTGTAAATGGGTCATAGGTAATAATTGGGCAGAAGATTAACGAAAGGTCCCTTTCAGAATGCATCTTGACATGTACAGATGTCACCAGCAATTACGGTGCTGACATTACTTACGTGGGCGGCTCGCAATCTCTGGATTCTCTCTCTTACACTCTTCTCTTATGTTTATAGTTTTGCGTCTGAATCTTACTTTTGAAATAATCTACCTTAAAAAAAAAACTAGTTAATGTATTCAATTTTTAAAAAATTAATAACAATATTCTCAATTTATTTTATTTTAATTTAATTATGAGAATATAAAAATAATTATTTTATAAAAAAATAGAAATGTAATTTAATATTTTAAAAAAGTCAAATCTATTGAGACTAAATGTCACATTAAACACTTGACCATCGTTTAATATCTTCTTATATAATTTTAAAATTACTTTAAACTTTTAAAAAAAGCTTCTTATTTTTTTTAAATAACTGATTTCCTATAATCTCCAGGCACGTAGATTTGTGAGCATGTGAGTGGGCATCATGATATTTGTGCTATGTGTATTGTTTATTTGCTTCAGAAGTTAAATATTGGGAAAATTGTTGTCTTGTTAATATTATTAAGGGATAAGGATAGGAGACATCATAACTCGTAAGATTAATAACAAATTCAAATATCTTATTATTAGGTCCTTTTCTTTTTCCTTTTTTTCGAAAAAATTAAGGATACTGATAAATAAATTCACTAGGAAAAAATTCAAATATAATTTTTAAGTAATTTTTATTATTTTTCAATTAAAATTAAAATTATACTTTTAGTAATTTACGGCAACCTAAATACAAATATTTTATTAAATCTTATTATAAATACTATTAAAATTACCTAAAAATTTGATTTTTTTTATTATACTAATTGAAAATGCATTAAATATTTTAATTGTTAATGAAAAAAAAAACCCTTAGAAACATATAAAATATTATTCAATCAACATTTGTACTTAGTTAAGAAAACAATTTTAATCTTTTCCCTGAAAAGGTAAGTCAAATACTTCTTTTTCCCATTACTTGGTGGTTGCTTTTCTCTGAGAACATTGACAAAAAGAGAGACGGAAAAAAATAGTAGTCATAATTAAAATATTAAATAAGCATATGATATGATATGTTATGTTAATATGAAGGGGGGTGGGGTGGGAAGGATAGAGTTTAGCTTGAGGTGACCTTCAGAATTGGAATAGATATTAAAGATACAATCATTGATTACTCTGAAGGCCACAAATTCTGATACTTCTCTATCATTTCATTACTCCATTCAGGAGGTGCAATTTTTAATGTGTGTACTTTCCCAACTGTTTTGATTTTTTCATTTTAATTGTCATGTATTTTCTCATGTAGCACTTACCCATCTCAGAATCTTCTACATATTTACTATCCTTGTTTTCAACGTGTTTTTTGATCCAATAATTTCAATTTTCAACAATATCAATGGTTTGTTTATTACAAGTATTAACTTAGATTCAGAACTAGTGTTCGTAGCTGTAAGTTGTTGAAAACTTTGCCAGCTGTTTCAGCGGAAGAAAGTAAAAAAAATGTGTTTTTGAGTGTTTGAATGTGCAATTGGAATCTGATCACATGATTATGATGTGGCTGTGCTTGCAGGGTTTGATTGATATATGTGCTGTGAGTTGGGTTCCTGTGACACTAGCTGGTAAGAAGATGGATAAAGAAGGTGGTGCAAACCATGGTGATTATGTGCATGATATAGAAAATGAAGGTCCATTGGATGGGAATGAGGAGATTGGAAGGTACTGGTCAGGGTTATCTGACAAAAATGTGAGCTATTCAAAGCCACTTCTTGTGAAGAGGGCTAACACCACATCCCAGATTGCCATTGTTGGTGCCAACCTCTGCCCTATTGAAAGCCTTGACTATGAGTAAGCAATCTAGGTTTCTCTTTTGATAATAACCAAGTAAAATAGTTTGATTGAAATGATTGTGCAAGTAGATCATTTTTTTATTTTCCAGATTTAGGTTCAGTTTGCATAAACTTTTTAAAAAGTATTTATAAGAGAAAATAACAAAGTAAAATAATTAAATTCTCTCAAAGGTTAGAATCAAGTTATGTATCTCAGTCTTTAGAGGAGTTAAAAGAGAAAGCTTCTAAAAAATGTAAGATGCATTAGTTGATTTTGTTAAGGAAAGAGAGAAACCTTCAAATACTGTCTTTAGAAGCACCCATACAAGAAAGAGGAAACAAAAAAAAAAAAAGAACACACAAGTTAAGAGAAGTTTGATTTATTTAACCTCCTTATTTTCTTCTCATACAAGTCATTTTTAATAAAAACCTTTTAATTTTTTAGCTATTTCTTCCTTTTGAATGCTGGGCAAAACAGTACCATCCACAGCTGTTAGTGCCTTCCATTATAGCTAGTTTTACTTTAGCAATTTTATTTTTTTTTACAAATTTTATGTCAGATTCTATATGTTTCTATTTCTTTCCAAGTTCCCAAGGCATTTGAATTCATATAATTATGTATCAGCTAACCAAAATTACAAATGACAAGAACTCCAGAATTGTTTTGATTTTATTGGTTAATCATTTACTGAAGGAATGGGTGATGATGCCAGAATACTTATTCTGTAATTTCAGGATTTTTGATAATGAAATATTTAAGCAGGACTGGAGGTCCAGGAAGAAGGTTCAGATATTACAATATGTGATGCTTAAGTGGGGATTTGCTCTTCTTATTGGATTAGGTACTGGACTGGTTGGCTTCTTTAATAGTTTTGCAGTTGAGAACATAGCTGGTTTCAAGCTACTTATGACAACAAGTCTCATGTCTAAACACAGGTGAGATTGCTCCTAGCTCCAGATGCATATGCTTACCTATTAATGATATTTAATATGTACTGTATTCTTTTGGCAGGTGCTAATGGTGCTTTCATAACTTACTTTTACTTTAAAGATGTATATGATGTGCTTATAACGCGACTATTGAATTATTTCACAGTTTGATTGTCCATCAGTAAATCAATTCTTACATCATAACCAGAAAATGAAAATATGTGATATTTATGCTTTTAATTTCTTCCCCCCTTCCCAAAAGAGATATATCACATCACATCTAATGCTTCTCATAAGCTTATGGCACTCCTTTGGATTTGTCAAAACAAAGTAGTTAACAATATAGAAAATGCTTGATTTCCAATTATTGGTTTAGAAACCATGTGCCATTAGCTTACAAACTTTAATGGATCTATTATATAAAAAATACATATTATGATTGGCAACTACTCGTTTTCTGTCAAACTTCCCTTTCTGTCGGTCTTTCTTTGTGCTGGAGATGGAGTTAGCATAAGATGCATATATATATATATATATATGTATATATATTGAACTTTAGCATTTATCCTTTTGTATTTTCTAACTTAGATTACCAAATGAATGAACACATTCTTGTAGAAATTATTTTTTAGTCTTGAATCAAAATTGTAGCATGTAACTTTTTATCATGCATTATTTTCGTATATTCTCACATATTAATATGGCATTATTTGTGTTCTAATACAGATATCTTGAGGCTTTTCTTGCATATACTGGTGTGAATATATGTTTAGCAGCTGCTGCTGCAGCACTATGTGCTTTCATTGCTCCAGCAGCTGCAGGCTCTGGCATTCCAGAGGTAAAAGCATATCTCAATGGTGTGGATGCTCACTCTATCCTGGCTCCAAGCACCCTTTTTGTGAAGGTGAATAATACTACACTAGTAGATGCAAGTCTAGTTCCTCTCACATTCTTTAGACTTCCTGCATAGACACGGATAAAAAATGAATAACTCTTCAAACAATTGAAAATTAGCCAAAGCATCAGGGTTCTGTTTCATATCAAAGAATTTCAGTTAATATTTCTTGTGAGCAAGCCTTCTATGGTATTTATTTCTTGGAAAGGGTTTGATACAGTAGGTATTACCAAGGAAAAGTTAAAACAATTTCTTAATTATTCCTTCCATGGTATTTATATGTACTCTTTATTGTGAAGTGTTTGATGTATCATATACTTCTTTTTCTACTCTTTTATCTTTTAACTTCTAGAAAATTAAATGAAAAAAGATAGACCTTGCCATAGCAAAATCATAGAGATAAAACCTATTCCAGAGGCAATTTAAAAATTTTGAGTGAATTTGTTTCTTAATTATTTCAGTTCTTAAAGTTTTGATCCTAAACCTATTCTGATATTGAATAAGAAAAGATTAAACTATGACAAATTGCCAATCAAATTCAAAATATATTTCCTCCTTATACTGATACAAGCTACTTTCTGTTAGTTTTTAATTGATGGCACAAAATAATAAATTTCTCATATTTAGATATGTTGAAGATGTTGTTAGAATTTCATTTAGAGAATACAACAACAACAACAAAAGCCTTGTATCACAAAGTGAAGTCAGTTACATGAACCAAATGCAACATTTGTTTTGTAAAATACCATTTATATTATTTTTGGTTTCTCTAATGACCTTGGTCTTCTTCTACCTCTGTTATTAAGCTATCCTCCATTTGATCAACTTTGGACTTCTCCTCACATGGGCAAACCATTTTTAGTGATTCTAAATCCATCAACTTTTGATCCTAAACCTATTCAGGGGTCTTATCTTTTATATTCAATAACACTTAGCTTATGTTGATTCATTCCTCATACAAGCCGAGTTTTTAAAATTTTTTGTGGTAAGAACACAATGGAATCTTCCACATGTTGAGAATTTCAAATTTCTATTTGAAGCCTATGATTCTAAATGCAACAGATTTTGGGTTCCATCCTTGGAGTTTCTGCTGGATTTGTGGTCGGCAAGGAAGGACCTATGGTACATACAGGTGCATGCATAGCTTCTTTACTGGGGCAAGGTGGATCTCGCAAATATCACTTGACTTGCACTTGGCTCAGGTATTTCAAAAATGACCGAGACCGGCGAGACATGATTACTTGTGGTGCAGCTGCTGGTGTTGCTGCTGCCTTTCGTGCACCAGTAGGTGGTGTCCTCTTTGCCCTTGAAGAGGCAGCTTCATGGTATCTATTTTTGCTAAAAGTACACTTTCTCTCTCAACTTCATGGTATCTTTAGATTGTAAACTTCATGGTATCTCAACTTCATCTTAGCAGCAACAACTATTATTTTCTAATATGTTGTATGAGATATTAATTAAAAATCAGAATTTAGTTGCCTTTGGAAGTGAATGGGTGGGAGGAAAAAGAGAAAAAGTAATAACATACTAAGATAATTGTGAGTGTATGATCATTAGTGTGTAAAGAAAATATCATTCTAAGACAATAGAATTGCATACCATGCACATTAGCATTCTTTCTTATAAACTATTAATTGAAAAGCTGGCAGCTAACCAGCGATCATATAGAGTTGACATTAGTGTATTAAATAAACTTTATTTAGTAAAATGATCAGTGATTCATAAATAACTTCATATATGCAATAAATGGTTCTCATTAAATTAGATGAAATGACTGGTTATACAAAGTCTAATTCAACATTAGTAAGAATCTGAGGTATTTATGGACGGGATGAAACTTAATGCTTCAAGCCTGGAACTTTACCACTTAATGTAGATAGACTTATAGATGATCAAGAGCTTGCTGGTTGGAAAAAATGACAAATGGACAGGAAGGTTCTTTTCCAGGCCTCTAAAGCAACTAGTATTTTAAAATTCTAGAACTACTTAATGCTTAATATAATCCTTATCTAGAAAGATAACATTAAGATTTCTGTTTCTTTCCTGTGGACAAATGGACTATATGATGTCTACATGATATACTTTCTATTTCAAGCTATAAATGAAGGACATCGCCTTTCAGTTAAAAGCTTACTAAAAGAAACTCTGCCTCATGTTTTCTGGTTTTGATCTATGCTAAAAGTATGAAGAAGCTGACATTGTTGTTGGATGTATATCTGTCCTAGGTGGAGGAGCGCTCTTCTATGGAGGACATTTTTCACAACGGCAGTAGTTGCTATTGTTTTAAGAGTTGCAATTCAGTTTTGTGCCACGGGGAGATGTGGGCTATTTGGGGAAGGTGGTCTCATAATGTATGACATTGGTTCGGCCAATGTAACATATAATGTTGGTGATATATTAGCAGTAGTGATTTTGGGAATCATTGCTGGCATTCTTGGAAGCCTATATAATTACCTTGTGGATAAGGTTGTTCGTACGTATAGCATCATCAATGAGTATGTACTCACATTCAAGTTAAACTGTTCTTAGCCATTTATTTGTTGTTTTATAATTATCGTTACCAATCTGACTCTTCTAAAGTAAGCAAATGCATAAAATGAGAAAGTAAAGGTGCATCTACCCTTGATTTAGTTAAAATATCTCGTAAACTTAACCACTTTAAGGGTGGATTAACCTTTCATGTCTCTCTTTACACATTTACTCCCTTTAAAGGAGGCAAATAACAACAATACTTGTAGTCTAATGTATTAACAATGTAACTAATAGTCCCCTTTTTTTGTGTTGTGGCAGAAAAGGTCCAGCTTACAAAATCTCTCTTGTTGTCACAATTGCTCTTTTGACATCATGTTGCTATTATTTCCTACCATGGATTGCAAACTGCACCCCTTGTCCCGCTAATGTGACAGTGAACTGTCCTTCTAATGATGAGTCTGGAGATTACAAAAGCTTTCAATGTCCACCAGGCTACTACAATGATCTTGCTTCTCTCTTTCTAAACACCAATGATGATGCTATTCGTAATCTATTCAGCCCCAAGATAACCAAAGAGTTTCATATTTCTAGTTTGTTTATCTACTTTGCTACTATTTACTGTCTTGGTATAGTCACTTATGGTATTGCTATTCCATCTGGACTCTTCATTCCTGTGATACTTGCTGGTGCTGGCTATGGCCGTCTTATTGGTCGGCTCTTTGAACCGATCACCAAGCTTGACAGAGGACTCTTTGCCTTACTTGGAGCTGCTTCCTTCCTTGGTGGCACCATGAGAATGACAGTTTCTATTTGTGTCATATTGCTTGAGCTCACTAATGATCTCTTGTTACTTCCACTTGTGATGTTGGTCTTGTTAGTCTCAAAAACTGTGGCTGATAATTTCAACAAGGGTGTCTATGATCAAATACTTAAGATCAAAGGACTTCCTTATTTGGAGGCTCATGCAGAACCTTACATGAGGAATTTAGTTACAAGGGATGTTCTCTCAGGTCCACTAATAACCTTTTATGGCATTGAAAAGGTGGGGAATATACTACATGCTTTGAAAACTACAGGGCATAATGGGTTTCCTGTCATTGATGAACCACCTATTTCAGATGCACCAGAGTTGTGTGGGCTTGTACTGAGGTCTCACTTACTAGTGTTACTGAAGGAGAAGTCTTTTTCAAGCGAAAGGGATCTCGCGGATCAAAGTATCTTCCAAAGAATTTCAGCATTAGATTTTGGAAAGGCAGGATCAGGGAAGGGCATCAAACTAGAGGATCTTGATATCCAAGAGGAAGAGATGGATATGTATGTTGATCTCCATCCCATAACTAATGCATCTCCTTATACTGTGATTGAGACAATGTCACTTGCCAAAGCTGCTATTCTTTTTCGTCAACATGGACTCAGGCACATGTGTGTTGTTCCAAAAAGCCAAGGGGTATGATATTTTTTCTCTTACCTTCAAAACAATGTTATACTACTTTATTGGAATATGTCATTTGCATTGTGTGACCATGTAAACATTTCAGATATATACTTCATCCCTTTGCTTACATTTTATTTAAAGATTTCAAAATACATTTAGGGGCCATTTGGAAAAGCTTATTTGATTTTATGAAGTAGTGTATGACCTTCTTATAAGTTGTTTGTAACTTATTTCAATAAATTCCATGAAGAAGCTTAACAAAATAAACTCTTTTTAGCTTATTTCAGTAAGTTTCACTCTCAAGCTTATGAAATGGAAGAAGTGCTTAGTTAAGTTATCTACTAAATCGTGTCAATAAGTTTTCAACTTCTGTTGCTTCACCTATTGAAAAATATGCTGACACTCTCTACATGTTGCAGAGACCTCCAATTGTTGGGATTCTAACACGCCATGATCTTATGCCAGAGCATGTTTTGGGACTTTACCCCAATATTGTGCCTCACAAATGACAATGAGGGATCTCAATGAAAAGAAATTCTTTCTTGTGTGTTGAAGTGCTGCACTCATTAGTTGCAGCTGATCAGAGCTATTATATACATTGGAGTGCAATAATTATTCACAAAAAACATGAAGCAAAATATTGCATAAGATGTGGCTGCTGCTGCCTAGTTTTGATGCGTTATTTAGTTACTGTGTCAATATATAGATTGTTAATATCTATTTTAAAAATTCAGCTTGTTACTTTCAGATAGACACTTATAAAACCCAGAAACCAGTTGAAGTATACGGTTAATAAAGATCTCTTCTACATGTATCTTGTTTGATTTTTAGGGATGAAGTTATCAAACTTAATGATTAAATGTTAATTGTATAGGATTTAAATATATTTTTAATTCCGACAAATTATTTTAATTTTGGTTTTGATCCTTATACTAGTCCTTATGGCTTTGTTAGTTTTGGTTTTGATTTTTCACCAGCAATATGTCACCCCACGCATTCTTAAAGAAAATCGTCAAAATTATGTTTGGGATGAAGTTATACCCCTATTTGTTTGATATTAGTACCAAATTGTGTGCTAGATTGTAAAAACTTATTAGAGCATAATTGCTCCAAATTTTGTTTTTAACAAATATATCAATGTGAATTGGGTACAATCATCAATTTATGTTTAAAGAAATGTTTTTTTGTTGTTGTTGTAGGTGTGTTGACAATAAATCTCCATGTCACAATTAACAAGATCAAAAGGTGTATCTAACATGTTATTATTACAGATAAAAAAATTAATTTTCTAAACTTTGATAAGAGACATATACAACTATCAGCAGAAGAATAGGAATCATTGAGGCATTTGGCAGAACATTTTTTTAAGTTTTTCAGAAATTTTAAGTTAGGAATATTAAAATTTCATGTTTAGTATGAATACTTTAAAAAAATTATAAAATATTAGCATTCTCAATATTTTTTAATTAATATTCTCGAGAACATATTCACATAAAAAGGGTGAGAAGATTCTCATAGAAGTAAATACCCTTATCAAATATAAGTTTCGTTTATATTATTTGTTTTACCATTATCTATTTAAAACTTGTATTGCTAACTCATTATTATAATAAAATATTATTTGAAATTAATATGATTAAAATTTTATAACTCACGTCACTTATAGTAATTACTTGAGAGGACAGTTATATATATAATCTATTAGTTATCATAGAGAGTGTAGGACTATTTTAGAAAGAAGCATTAATATTCTCAAGAAATAAAATTTAAACCAAATACAATATCAAAATATTTTCCGGAATTATTACATAACATTGGCAATAATATTTGAGACAACGTATTTTTAATGTTCATAGGAAATAGAGTTCTTAGGAAACATGATTCCTAAGGATTTTTAAAAAAAAATCCTTATACCAAACGTTCCTTAAAAGAAAAAAGACAATGTATTGCTCAAAATTTATAGTACTTTTTGTCTTACAAGAACAAGAGTCAAAGTTTGGCATCTTTATTCTTGAAAGATTAAAAAACTTGTTTAACCAAGTATAATTCCTATTATTTTTACAAGTGGATTGTTGGTCATGAATATGAACATGTCGAGTCTGAATAACACATAATCCGTCCTTCACTCCAAGCTGCCCTTGCCAGTTTATGCGTAGAGACAAGAATTTTGGAATTATTGAGCAATGTGACATGTTTATCATGTTGGATATGAAGTGAAAAATTGTAGAGAGTAATAAACATGACATGTGACACCAAAATTTAACACCCATGTATTAGGATCTTTAAGAGGTGGTAAATTTGTTATGTTGGAAGAGATTTTACCCAAATTGAGATTTTTCTTAGGCTGGTCTAACTGAGGATTTGTAGCTTGAAAATTTTGAGATTGAAGTAAAGCCATCAATCATTGGTATTATGCAATGTGAGATTTATTGGGTTGTCAATAATAGACGTAAAACTTGGTTTTTTTTTTTACTCCGGAGGGTTTTGATGAAGATTGTAGCATTTGTCTTTGACATGTCCAAGAAGACCACAATCACTGCAAATAAGTCAGTCTTTCTTGGTTCTTTTGTTCTTTTTCCCTTATCATTATTTGTCATAAGACCTCCTACTTGAACACCAAAAGCAACTTGAGCATTTGTGTTAGCCATGAAACTACTCATATCTCTTTGTTCTCTTCTTAAAGTCAAATAGCTAAGACTTTGCTAATTGAAGTTATGGTTCATTGAGGAATTGGTCCCCGAATATTCAAATAAGGAATCATTGAATCCTATAAGCAAACAAAGTACATACTCAGTTTCAATTTGATCATGAATGCCCCAAGTTCCACCACAAGTGCATTGTGTTACTAGTCAAAATTTGTTAAGTTCTTTCCTTCTAGCTCTATGAAATATTGGGTTATTGTTAAAATTCATGGTGTAGGTTGAACAAGTCTTTCTTGAGTTGAAAGATTGAAGAAATTGATCCTAATCTCTTTATATTACAATTATTGATGAGGAGCACATGACACTAATATAGATTCTTTGGTGATTGAATTCAAGAGTCAATAGTTAAGATGTTATCATTGTGATGCCAAATTTAATTGGTTTCAACATTTAATTTTTCTAGTTCTGAAGAGAGCCATCAGCAAATGTAAATTTATTTTTTATAAACTCATCTTCATCTTCAAGAGACTAAGCTCAATCCTAGATTATCATAAGAACGAAGGAAATAGGGACTATATGCTTAGTTGATCAATCTTGTAACTAGAGCTATCGAAAAGGTTTTTTAACTCAAGAGCTAGCTCTACTCAACCCTGAAATAATTCATTTAGTTCTATCTATGTACTAACTAAAAAAATTAATTAAGTCCTAAATTGATTAACCCAAAATATGTGGGTCAAGGTAAAGATATTCATGGGTTAGCTCTAACTTGGAAAAACTCCAAAATAATACTCAAAATCTATTATTTTAAAATCTTGATTAAACATAAATTTTCATTTAAATTTGCATTTGTTAATTGTTTTTTTTTCTTTTATTATTTTTCGATTTGCATATAGCCTTGTTATAACTAAAAAATAATTTAAATACATTAAAAAGTATGTTATTGTTAATTAATAAAATTATTAGTGTCATATTAAGTTTAAACATATAAAACTAATTTTTTAAGAAAATATTATTATTAAATAATTGAAATTAATCTTAAAAACTAATGACAATAAAATTTTTATAACCAAATTAAATTTATCTATAAATTTATGTTTAGTTCAATATTAATAGTTGAATTTTTTAATCATACTTATTAAATATTTAACGTATTTTTAAACATTGTGAAAAAATATACATATGTAGAATTGTTCCTTTTCAAAATATTTATAAAGTGTTTATAAATTTACCTACACACTTACATTATAGAAATTTCAAAAATTATAGAAAGTACAGGTTGCTGTGAAATTACTTTTTCTTGTCTCCTTTCCATTCATTGTATCATTTTAGACCAATTGTGACTAACTTAATTAAAATTTAAAATATTATAATTTTATAATTAAATAAAAATAATATTAAATTTAAATGATTCAAAGATTTAGATTAATTATATATTTATATTTAAATGATAAAAAAAATAGATACAATAAATATACTTATTTTATTTCATATTAAATATTATTTATTTCAAATTATTTATTACTTTAAAATATAAAAAATATATTATTTTTTACAAATATCTTTAATCATTATTAAAAAATTATTACAATTTAATCATTATAATAAATTTAATATTATTTTAAGAATAACTACCAATAAATTTAGCATTTTAATATAAATAATTTATAAAAATTTATTTTATTGTAGTCATTAATAAAAAAATAATTATTTTATTAAGATGCATGCATTTATACCAAATGACATGTAAACCAATTTTTTTATACCAAAAAGTAATAAGTAAGAAACAATAATTTTTTAAAATTTTTAAAAACAAATATCTTAACAAATTTTGAATAAATCATAAATGTACTTTTTTAATTTAACTAAGAATTATAAATATAAATTTTGTTGAATAGTACATAAAAAGTATCACTATTATTTAACAACAATAAAGTTTTATGTATTAAAGAAAAAATATATATAAAATATGGTCTTTTATTATTGTGATGAAACTTTTATTTGGTTATATATGAATAAATTAAAATAATTTTTTTAAAATCTTAATTTGATCTTAATTTTATTTGATTTTAAAAATACATTATTGATATAAATACTAAAGTATTGACATTTACATATTACATAATTTTTTAGCTGTGTAAATCGTTGGAGTATTATTAATAATTTTATTGTCTCATAAAATTCTAACCTCAACCTTGGTCCTGCGGGCTTTTTAGCTTGTGGAGCTTTTGACATATTAAGGTTTTTGACCCACAAAATTTTTTGACCCTAATCTATATGAATTAGGAATAAGATTGGGCCAAGTGAACTTATTGATAGCTATGCTTGCAACAACCATAACAAAGAAAATGTTAGAGGAAAATAAAAAGATGATAAGTGATGAAAGATAAAAACATATATATTTTGGAAGCATAATGAAAATTAATTATCACCTAATACCATATTGAGCATAGAAAATTGAAAAGCACCGTTTTATTCTAAAAAATAAGGGAAGACCAAATTAAAAAGGAGATTCAACCCTACTTCTATTCTTGTCCATACGCCTCTCTCCTTCTCAATTTTGTTTTTCCTTTCATGCGCAATACCTCATGTGGTCCTCTTCCAACTTTTTTCTTTTTCTCTTCCTCTACTCGAGTATCTATTTTCTTTTTTTAACTCGTCTTTTTGAAACTTCAAAAAAATCTTTGTAACTCATTTATTTATCTCTCTGGTGTGGACAACTTCGAGTGAATTTTTGGATTTAGGGTTAATGATCTAAGGAGAAATGAGTGTCATCGATTGCTGAAACATTTTCTCTTAAGGTATGCTCACAACTTAAATACATGAAAATATTTCTTTTTGAGTTCTCATTTTGATAAATGTATATTTCAAAGTTCTGAGCATAAATATAAATATTTTATTATTAAAATTAATTTTAAATTCTTGTTAAATATTATTGATATTTGAACTTTCTGGCTAGCACTTTCTTCACAATTCCATAGTACTTCTGATGAGCCGGTTAATTAGTTTTTTATTATTTGTGAATGGTTAGTGTTCATACTAACATATTTCATGATAATTATTATAATTACTTAACATGTATTGTTTTTTATAAAATATTTATTTGGGGAAACAAGTCTTTAAACTTGTTTCTTGATCATATAAAATGTGATTATGATATGTATTTTATTCAATTACATGAATTTATTTTTAAAGCACAAAAGAATTAATTATTTTCATTTTATTTTATGATATTTGGAACATATGCATTAAGATTTTTATTATTAAAAATAAAGTTGGTTAAGTATGAAAATGATTTTCTATTATGTAAATATTTTTTAAATAAGTTATGTTAAAATCTTATAACTATTAGCATAAATAATAGTTTAAATGCACATTGTTCTACTTTTAGAGGAGAGGACTACCTATAAAATGGAACAATAAGTACATAGATTAGACTATCAACGAGATGTAATTGCTCTTGTTGATATGACTATGACATAATGTATGCAAGGAGAAAATTATTTGTATAAAGATACCTTTAAAGGAGAGATGACATCCTTAGAAGCCTTACAGTGTGTGTGTGTCTATAATATTTTTTAAATGATATGTTATAAATGAGTTATATAATTGTAAACTAGTTGTCCATTCTTTGTTTTGCTTTTCCATTCATTATGATTATCATGTTTTCATTGAATCTTTGTGACTTATAAATAAGTTATATAACTGTGAACTAGTTGTGCATTCTTTGTTTTACTTTCTCATTCATTATGATTATTATGTTTTTATTGAATCTTTGTGACTAATTTTCTATTTTTTTTAATATATTTTTAACTTATTAGATAGCAAAGCTGCACTCTAGTGAGAACATCAACTCATCTCAACAGGTGCTTTGTTGGTAAGTGTAATTATTTTGATAAAAAATTTTTTTGTTACTTTTATTATATTTTAGACTTTTTGCAGTGTAGGGATATTTTATTTTGTTATGAAATAAATCTTTTATTATTGATATTAAAAAAATTAAATTCTATGTTGAATTGTAGATTAATTTTGATAAATAGTCATATTTTGAAACAATAAAATTATAAAGGAAACTTTGTTAAAATTTTAGTAAATTTCTCACATTAATTATTTTTAAAAAAATTATCGTTTTATATGTTATTTCTAAACAATCATGTCAAGTAAAACTTATAAATAACTTAATTTATGTGTTGATAACAACTTGATCTTTTAATACCTAAAATCTTATACTTTGTTATAGTTCTTTTAAAAGTTGTCACAAAATATACACATAAGCAATGTAATTCTGCCTATGCTCTTATGATTAGATTGATTTAAGATATTTATTGCAAAAGTGGTTTAGTTTATAAATTTGTAAGAAAATGTAATAAGTTAGATATTTTTATATGCTATTAGTTTTTCTTTATCAATTACCTTACCAAGTATTTTTTTTTATTAAATGTAAATACTAAAAATAAATATGGGTTAAACATAAATATAAAATATGATATTGAATTTTAATAACTCAAATATAAAAACTCTAATAATAAACGCACTACAAATGAAACCAAAGCTTTTGTAATTTATTTTATGTTTATTGTACGAGTTTGAGGGTCCATGCATGGGCGCCAAAAAAACCCCTCCCTCCCAAAATTTGCATCCCCGCCAAAGATAAACTTTGGTCCGAAACACACCCATTTCAAATAAACTCAAAGCGAAGCTTCCCAATTCCACACTCACTCTCTCAAGTGAAGAAGTTTGCGTTTTGTGAAAAAGAGGGGGGAATTCACGCAATGGGTTCGGCTTCTCTTATCGATTCTCCTTCTCCCAATCATTCTCAACCCTCTCCCGTTTCTAAAACAGGTCCTACTATAATTATTATTATAATAAATATAAGTTGACATTAATATAAATATACCCTTTTTCACTGTTCTTCCCTTCTCTAGGTTTCTCTATTGTCTTTGCCTTTGGTTTTGCTTCATACCCTTTGCTCCTTCTAGCTATTGCTAGTTAGATGTTTGTTTATTTTTGTTTTTTGTACTGGGTTCGGGATTGAAGGATTTTTTTTTCTTTTTCAGATACCCATTTTTGGTTTCTCGTGAATTTCGTGTTAACAACTCTATCTTTAGGCTTTGCTGCAGTTCTAGCTTAGGCTTCGAAAGCTCTTGTGGTCATTACCTTTGGTAGATTTCAACTGAAATAATTTTCTGGGAATTACTATCAATTTTTTAAAATAACCATTTTTGATAAATTCTTTTGAAAAACGAGTTTTCCCCCCTTCCAAATCAAGCACTTACTGATGGGAACTTGTATTAGTAATTGTATTTATTTTTTGCTTTCATTTTTTATTGCATGCACTTGTGAGCAAGAGTTGAGTGAGAAAAGTGGATCATGCTTCTGTTTTGATGTCTTCAATATTCAAATCCAGGTTTTGCAGCAACGGTAGACAGAATTAGTGGATGCTCATAACTGCTATCCTCCTAGGTCTAATTACAGTATGTTAGTAATGCATTGTGACGGATAGCATATAGATTTTAAATCTCTAGGTGGATTTTTTCAATGTAAAAATCAGAAAAGATCAAAAGAATAGAATTGGTGACAAATCAAATTTTTTGGAAATCTATTTGATGCTCATATAGATAGTAAGATAGATAGGTATTTTCTTTTCATATTTATCCTTCTATTCTACAGACAGTGTATGATTATGATGCTTATAATTCACTTATTTCTGTCTCATGCCTGTCTTAGTTGCCTTCTGCTGTGGACTTTAAGCACACATTGTATTCCCTATCAGGTTTTTTAGTTTTGTTTTCTGTTTTTGAAATAGGAGTTGAGAACGGCAAAAGTAAAAAGAATTCCATTCCCAAAACTGAGGAGGAAGTTATGGCTGGAAATAAACATAACAAGCGGAGTTCATCAGAGGGAAGTGAGCAGCCTGCTGCTACACGCAAAATGCCAAAACGAGCTGCAGCGAGTAAAAATTTGAAGGAGAAATCTTTTTCAATATCTGAGAAATCTTGTCTTATTGAAACAGAGAAGGATCAGATTGTAGAAGAAGAAACTCTAGCAGTCCGCATGACTGCCGGACAGGATGACGGTCGTCCAAATAGAAGAATTACAGATTTTATCCTTCATGATGAAAGTGGTACGGCACAGCCCCTTGAGATGCTGGAAGTTAATGATTTGTTTATCTCTGGAGTTATATTGCCACTTGAAGCAAGCGTGGGCAAGAAAAAGGAGAAAGGTATTAGATGTGAAGGCTTTGGTCGAATTGAATCGTGGGATATATCTGGCTATGAAGATGGCACTCCAGTGATATGGATTTCTACTGATTTTGCTGATTATGATTGCCTAAAACCTGCAACTACTTACAAAAAATTTTATGATCATTTCTTTGAGAAAGCCCGTGCATGTATAGAAGTATACAAAAAACTTGCAAAGTCCTCTGGTGGGGACCCTGATATAAGTCTTGATGAGTTACTTGCTGGGATGGCACGGTCTATGAGTGGCAGCAAGTGCTTTTCTGGAACTGCATCTCTAAAGGATTTTGTTATTTCTCAGGGTGAGTTTATTTATAAACAACTCATTGGTTTGGACATGACATCCAAGACAAATGACAGGATGTTTGTAGAAATTCCTGCTCTTATTGCTCTTAGAGATGAGAGTAAGAAACAAGCAAACTATGTACATCCACAGTTATTGCCCTCAAACGGGAGTTTAAAGATTGATTCAGGAATTGGAGATGAAGAAAACAAGAATCAGATGAATTCAACAACTTCTGTTGCTGAGGAAGATGAGGATGCAAAGTTAGCACGACTATTGCAGGAAGAGGAGTATTGGCAATCGATGAAGCAGAAGAAAAACCCCAGATCAGCCTCTGTATCTAACAAATACTATATCAAAATTGATGAAGATGAGATTGCAAATGATTACCCTCTTCCTGCATATTATAAAACCTCCCTTGAAGAAACAGATGAATTTATAGTTTTTGATAATGACTATGACATATATGACATTGAAGATCTCCCTCGAAGCATGCTGCATAATTGGTCGTTGTACAATTCAGATGCAAGATTGGTTTCCTTGGAACTTCTTCCAATGAAATCTTGTTCAGATATTGATGTTACCATCTTTGGATCAGGCATAATGACTTCAGATGATGGAAGTGGGTTTCATCTGGATACGGAGGCTGGCCAATCTTCTTCCAATGGTTCTGGAGCACAGGTTCCTGATGGAATTCCAATTTATCTGAGTGCCATAAAGGAATGGATGATTGAATTTGGATCGTCTATGATTTTCATATCCATCCGAACAGATATGGCCTGGTATGGTGTCTCTTGTCTAAAATAAATGTTATTTCTTCTTTTTTTTTTATATTTCAAATGAAATATAATCAGAAAATCCATTTGATTATGTGGGTATCAATCTGTTAACATAAGTTAGTTGTACACAAAGTGTTGCAAGAAAATTGGGTTGACTAGTGTCATGGAGGAATTTGTCATATGAATGAAACATATGTACACACTTTATTTAGATTCATCTTAGAATAATTTGGTTGTGGCGTCATAATTCCTTTTTAAAATGATGATCAGGCTAATTAATTCTTCATTGCTTTCAGGTATAGACTTGGCAAACCATCAAAGCAGTATGCTCCTTGGTATGACACAGTGTTGAAAACTGCAAGGGTTGCTATAAGCATTATCACCTTGTTGAAGGAGCAGAGCCGAGTTTCACGACTTTCCTTTGGAGATGTCATCAAGAAAGTATCTGAGTTTAATCAGAAACATAGTTCTTACATCTCTTCAGATCCATCAGCTATTGAGAGTTATGTTGTTGTCCATGGACAGATAATTCTACAACTGTTTGCAGAATTTCCTGATGAAAAGATCAGAAAGTCTCCATTTGTGACTGGTCTCATGAACAAAATGGAAGAACGACACCATACCAAATGGTTAGTGAAGAAGAAGAAAGTTGTGCCAAGGAGTGAACCAAATTTAAATCCTAGGGCAGCAGTGGCTCCTGTTGTATCCAAGAGGAAAGCTATGCAAGCTACGACAACAAGGCTGATCAATAGAATATGGGGAGAGTATTACTCAAACCACCTGCCAGAGGATTCAAAAGAGGGAACTGCTAATGAATTAAAGGAGGAGGATGAAGTCGAGGAACAGGAAGAAAATGAAGAGGAGGACAATGAGGAGGAGATGTTGCTTTTCGAGGGATCCCAAAAGCCACATTCAGCTTCAAAACAAATCAAAACATTTTCTGCTGACAAAGAAATAAGATGGGAAGGGAAACCTGAAGGGAAGACGAGTTCGGGATGTCTTATATATAAAAAGGCAAGTATTCACGGGGAAGTTATTTCTGTTGGAAGATCTGTGTTAGTGGAAGTTGATGAAATGGATGAACTTCCTGACATATATTATGTTGAATATATGTTTGAATCTAGGATTGGAAGAAAAATGTTTCATGGTAGGATGATGCAGCGTGGTTGTCAGACTGTTCTTGGCAACACTGCTAATGAGAGAGAAGTGTTTTTGACTAATGAGTGCAGGGATTTGGGTCTACAGGATGTTAAGCAGACTGTTCTTGTAAATATTCAAAAAATGCCTTGGGGTTATCAGCATCGAAAGGATAATATCATTGCAGGTAAAGTTGATAGGGCTAGAGCAGAAGAAAGAAAGAAGAAAGGGCTACCTACTGAATATTACTGTAAAAGCTTGTACTGGCCTGAAAGGGGTGCTTTCTTCACCCTTCCATATGATGCTTTGGGTGTAGGGTCTGGCATTTGTCACTCTTGCGAAATACAGGATGCCCAAAAGGAGAAGGATATTTTCAAAGTAAATTCATCCAAGTCTGGTTTCCAATTGAAAGGAACTGAGTATTCTCTCAATGATTTTATTTATGTAAGTCCCTTTGAATTTGAGGAAAAGATAGAGCAGGGAACTTACAAGAGTGGGAGGAATGTAGGGCTGAAAGCTTATGTAGTGTGCCAACTGCTTGAGATCATTGTCAAAAAGGAAACAAAACAAGCTGAAATTAAATCTGCACAGGTCAAAATCAGAAGGTTCTTCCGACCAGAAGATGTATCAAATGAAAAGGCATACTGCTCTGATATACAAGAGGTAATGGCTGCTTAGAAGTTAATTACTGAATCAACACATGCAAATGGGAGAGATGTCACTAATGATTTTACTGATAAATAGTAACACTGACTATAGCTTTTGTATGAGGCTTAGATGACATGATTGTGTGAATTTTTTAATGTAATTTTCACTAAGCCATTCATGCTTGATCTAATTGACTGTGATAAGTGAGCTGCTTTTTGTATGTGCATATTGTTATTCTTTGAGTATTGCTTCTACTTTGTGTATCTTCTCTGTAATTTTTCATATTGACTTATATTTCACGATATATATTTTAGGTGTATTACAGTGATGAGACCAATATAATCTCTGTAGAATCCATAGAAGGGAAATGTGAAGTCAGAAAGAAGAATGACATTCCTGAATGCCATGCCCCTGGAATCTTCCAAAATGTATTTTTCTGTGAGCACCTGTATGATCCTGCCACTGGGTCACTCAAGCAGGTTGTTTACTTGGCCCTGTTATGGTAGTGTATAATGTGCTTGTTAAGCTAAGTATATGTATTTTATGATTTATAAAGTTTTTATGTTATCCATTTTAAACAAGTATGACCTATTTGGACTTGTGTTATTGACCTAATCCATATCTCGCAGCTCATATATCCTGTAAGCTGTTTTATGTTCCCTTTTCATTTAATTGCTGTTCACAACCTATCTGTAGTACTGTGTATCAATGACTGCTTTGTGGAGAACACCTGTATATCCTATAAGCTTTATTATGTTCCCTTTTCATTTAATTGCTCTGGCAGAATTTATCCAGACTCAAAAGCTTGATCTCCTTGCCTGGTCCTGTTGTATTTACTTTCTGTAGTAAATGTTCAGTTTAAATTTGAACTAAGCATGTAAAATATGTTTACACTATTAGTAAACTAGTGCCAGTGTAGCTACTTAGGTGTTTTACCTGTACTGAAAATCAACTCTTTTTGAAAGTCGTTGTGGTGTCATATGGACATTGTTGACTGGTAGATAAAACTATACACTGTTAATGGATCCAAATAAAATCCAAAATTTAAATCATTGCAAATATTCTTTATAGATTTCCTTGTTGCCATTATTTTTCAATCAAACTTAAATTATGTATTTTAGTTTAGCTTAGTGTTTATCACTTTACATCATTCATGACAACAACCAATATTGAGGTACAAGTATGATTTTCAATAATTAACTATTTTCTTATCAATTTCTTGACAGTTGCCAGCTCATACAAAAGTAAAATATTCAAGTGGACATACAGCCGATGCTGCAGCTAGGAAGAGAAAAGGAAAAAGCAAAGAGGGAGATAGCATTTCAGAGTCTGATAAGGAAAGGAAAACATCAAATGAAAAACGTTTAGCAACCTTGGATATTTTTGCAGGTTGTGGTGGCTTATCAGAGGGGTTGCAGCAGTCAGGTAATCTTAACTACATTATCCTAGCAAGAAACAGCTGTGTTGTCTATCTTTACATAATATAACTTGTTTTTTATTGCTTGAATGCTGCAGGAGTTTCATTAACTAAATGGGCTATTGAGTATGAAGAACCAGCTGGGGATGCATTTAAAGCTAATCATCCTGAAGCATTGGTGTTCATTAACAATTGCAATGTTATCCTTAGGTAATGATCCTATTGAGATAACGCATTTCACGCCCCAAGTTTGAATAGAGCGGAAACCAGTTAAGCGACTCATTTATTTATTGTGATGTAGTGCTGTAATGGAGAAGTGTGGAGACATAGAAGATTGTATCTCAACATCTGAGGCCGCAGAATTGGCAGCAAAGCTTGATGACAAGGAAATAAGTAGCTTACCCATGCCTGGGCAAGTTGATTTCATTAATGGGGGTCCTCCATGTCAGGTCTGTCTAGCTGTTGGTTTTTCTTTTTCTAGTTTGCTGATGAATACATTATTTAATATTGGCTTGTTCCAGGGTTTCTCTGGGATGAATAGGTTTAATCAAAGCAGTTGGAGTAAAGTTCAGTGTGAGATGATTTTAGCATTTTTATCCTTCGCTGATTATTTCCGGCCAAGGTATTTCTTGTTGGAGAATGTGAGGAACTTTGTGTCTTTCAATAAAGGACAGACATTCCGTTTGACTTTGGCTTCACTTCTTGAGATGGGCTATCAGGTAAAATTATGTTATTGCATCTTTCTTCCTGAGTGATTGTACTTCAGAGTTAAAGAATAGAAGTAGAACCTCTAGGAACTAATAAATGCTGATTTACTTGTCCAAAAGGTGAGGTTTGGTATCCTTGAGGCTGGAGCTTATGGCGTTTCCCAGTCAAGAAAAAGGGCTTTCATATGGGCAGCCTCTCCAGAGGATGTGCTTCCTGAGTGGCCAGAACCAATGCATGTCTTTGCTGTTCCAGAGTTGAAAATCACACTATCAGAAAATGTCCAGTATGCTGCAGCTCGCAGTACAGCTAATGGTGCTCCATTACGTGCAATAACTGTCCGAGATACCATTGGTGACCTCCCAGCTGTCGGCAATGGAGCCTCAAAAGGAAACATTGAGGTATGTAAAATAAAAATCATTTTGAGTTGCCTTTACACTGATCATTATTACTTAACTGGGTTTTATGTTGCACAGTATCAAAATGATCCTGTCTCATGGTTTCAAAAGAAGATCCGAGGTGATATGGTTGTCTTGACTGATCATATATCAAAGGAGATGAATGAATTGAATTTGATTCGGTGTCAAAAAATTCCTAAGAGGCCAGGTGCTGATTGGCGGGATCTTCCAGATGAAAAGGTAAAGTTAAATTCTTATGAATTTTCGAATAACAATTTTTGTGATTTGTCTAATTTATGAAATCTAATGCAATACAGATAAAGTTGTCTACTGGACAAGTTGTTGACTTGATACCATGGTGCTTGCCAAATACGGCTAAGCGCCATAATCAATGGAAGGGGCTATTTGGTAGGTTGGATTGGCAAGGAAATTTCCCAACTTCCATTACAGACCCTCAACCGATGGGGAAGGTTGGAATGTGCTTTCACCCTGACCAAGATAGGATTCTTACTGTTCGCGAATGCGCTCGATCTCAAGTAAGTCTATTGCTGTAGTTAGCTGTCACCCTATATTCTATGACAAGAAATGGAATCCCAGCAAATTGGAAATTATTATTACGTGAATTGATTTCAATTATTTTAATTATTGTGGATAATTCTGAACAAGTTGTCTGTACATGGACAGTAAAATGATCCTAATTGGTGTCAGTTCATAGTTTTAATTGGGATGTCAAGGGAACTACATTCTATAACTAGTTAACCAACATAGTAATCCTTATGATCTCTGCTTAAGAAATAGCAAGATATTTACTTTGGTAAAATCTTTAAATTTGACATATTTTCATCTGCGAATGCAGGGCTTCCCAGATAGCTATCAATTTGCTGGCAACATCATACACAAACACCGGCAGATTGGTAATGCTGTGCCTCCCCCTTTGGCATTTGCATTAGGGAGAAAGCTCAAGGAAGCAGTGGATAGTAAGAGTTCAACTTAGATTAGAATATGGGCCATACATCCTGTAAAGATCATGCTCATTGATCATTTGTGTGATATTGCAAATTGTCTTTCAGGGTTCCAAAAACAAGAAACCCCTTGTGTATAGTGATATCCCTTGGTCATTTGTGTGAGGTTAATTCCTTGTTCCATAGCCGAAGAATTGTATTGATAATGTTCAAAGCTCATTCATCGTTGTCAATCAACTTGAATTTTCTTGATTAGTGATATTTTGGCCTGTTATGAAAGAAATGAGTGGGAATTACCTCAGTGTATGGTTAAATTCGATAATTGACACCAAAATTTCCGTTGATTTTTTTAATTTATTGTGAATATTTAGTGTTGTAACTGTGTCTAAAGAGCTTGCAAAAATAATAAAATAACAATCATAAATTTATGGGAATAGTGAGACCCGCTGAAAATTGATGGGTAGATTCATTGATGAGTAATGCGAGCTACTTTTAAGAGTCTTGCGGGCAGATTATTCAATTTTTTATTCTAGGTTTGTTTAAATCTTTTATTTATTTCTAAAGGAAAAGAGGTTAATTAATTTACATGAAAGATAGATTGGACAAAACAATTTAATTCAACACTTATTTAATAATTTTTTTAGCTTATACCATGATTATTTATAAACTTATCCGAATAAGTTTTAAACAAAGCTTTTCAATTAGGAATATTAAGAAATTTATCAATTAAGTTGTTTTTATAAGCTTTTTCTCAAATGTATTTTAAATTTCGATAAAAATATTTTTAAGAATTATTATTTATTATGTCATGTGACTTATTTTGTATTGAATATTTTTAATTTAATTTTATATGATATTTTAAATTTTTAACATTTTATTTTAGTTCTACTTGATATAGTGAAATATTTATTATTAATAATGAAATATTTAATTTTTCATTTATAAAATTTTAAATAATCATTCAATATATTTTAAATTATTTTAACGTTTATCGAATAAAGCCAAAAACAGATAATTTTAAATAATAACTCAATATAATAAACTTTGATTTGTGTTTTAATTGTTGCCAGAGATGTTTGCATGGAAAGGGTTTGAAATATACCTTCCTGGTGGCAGGAGAAAGAGAAAGAAGGGAAATGTGTTTGGATGAAAGATGGAAGAAAGAAGGGAGGGGAACAAGCCATTTTTTATTTTATTTTATTAATTTCGAATTTTAAATAATATTTATATAATTAAAAATTAAAATAAATTTATTCATAATATAATATAATATTTTTATTTTATATTTTTACTCGTTCAAATAAGTCAATAAAAGAATATTTTTAAAAAAAAAAAAATTATTCTCATGTTTTAACTTATCCAATCAATACTTATTTTACTCCTTTTTTTTTTTTTTTTTTTTATCTTTTTTATGTCTGTTTTCTCCTTTTCTCACCTTTATCCATCACTCGGCAAGAGTCAAATTTTGCGACTAAAAGCGTGTAAGTGGTAAATAAAGTTAAATTTTAGGAGGTATTTAGATTTTTTACACAAATTATTAGAGTTTATATGAAAAGACTTATTATTTTTTTAAATTTTTATACTTTATTTGAATATATTTAGTAAAAATTATTCAAATATTTTAGGTAATTTATAGTTTATTTATTAACTTATAATTTTATATGAGTGAAATAAACTATAAATTTATATGTCAATAAATTAAAATAATCATATAAGCTTATAAATGCTTAACTTAATTTATTTGAATGTGGTGGTTTCTGGACAGCAATTCATGTCATTAATAATTTGTGTTTCAAGTGATACCCGTTAACTTAACATGAAGCAACCACTATAATAAGTAAAATGCTTAATCACTCCACTGTATATCTTTGTTAATAACATTTTACTATGCATCACATTCCACACTTTCATGCTATGCATACTCTCTTAAGAAATGATTTTTCATTATACATTATCCCCAGTGTTCTCATCTTTTTTTTCTTTCACCATGCTTCTTAACTGATCAATTTTTTTTAGTTTGATTCATAGGAACTTCCAAAATAACATACAATTATCTTTTGTTTCATTTCTGATTCCATCCAAAAAATATTTTCAAAATGATTCCATTTTCTAATTTTATTAATTATTAGTTGCATATAAAATAAACCAGGTTATTATTTTTGTTTATTTAAACAATTTTCACTGGGGGTTACTCAATTGACAATACATGTTAAGATTATGAGAAGTGTTAAATATTCGATTTTTACCAACCATACTTTCGAAGACAAATGACGAGTGTTAACCTTGCCTAAATTCAAAGTAAAAAATAGTTAGTACTAATATGATGATCCGATTCCAATTGGTGTAAAAAATATTTGAAGATCAATTTAAATAAAATGTAAAGTAAGAATTTCACATAAAGTTGAAGGTTTAAGTAAATTAGAATACTTCAAGTTCATAAGATATGTTTTTCTTTTTGCTAATTTATTAGATAATTTTTTGATTGCTCAAGATGAAAAAAATATAATTTAATTTTTTGAATGCATGTTTAAAAAATATAAGATATCATTAAAAATTAATGTATTAATAATATCAATTATTATTTTTTATTAAATTTTTTATGTATATCTTTACACATGTTAGAAAAATTTAAAAAATTCAAATCAATGTTAAAAAACACTGGTTAAGAAATTTAAAAATATATTAAAAACGAAAAATTGACACTTATTCTCATAATTTTTAAAAATATTCTAAATTTCTTAAAAAATATCAATTTACTTGTTCTTTAAACAGTGCCCAATTAGCAAATTTCAAAACTAAATATAATTACTTTTTAAATTTGCGACGATGCTGATATTAATTGTACAATGAGTGCTTTTGAATAGCACTCGTTAGTATGCTTGACAATAAAGAGGAAAATGTATAAACTTATTTTTTGAAAAAAAAATAAAACAAAATAAAAGGTGACATTTTTTTCTTGACATGGGATCAGCTTTTGCTTCTTTGGACATGTTTTGTTGATAGGAAAGTGAGGAAAATTTTGTTGTATGATCGCAGATCACTTTTCTCTTGATGAATAATATATATAGAAAAAGATATTGTTATACTAATATAAATTTAAAATTTTTTATATTTTATTTGGATTTTTTATTTTATTTATACCTAACGGTTAATAAAATGATAAATTATAACTCATTTGATATAAGTTAAATAAAAAATTAAAATAAAATATAAATTTTTTTAAATTTATATTAGTGGGAGAAAATTTTATATATATATAATTTAAAAAATTGAAAACATGACGAAAATCTCGATAGATATATTATTTAAAAATATTGAAAACATGACGAAAATCTCAAATCCATAGAGTGAAGAATGCTTTTGATTGAAAGTGAAAGATGAAAGGGAAGGCATTAGGGGTTGAGAATTAGGTGTCCATCAAGGTGGGGCTAAATGGGGGAGGCCTAAGCTTGTGTAGGAGCAATAAATTGGATGGTTGCTTTTGATAGATACGTGAATAATTTTATCAGGAATTTAATTATTTTTTTAAAATATTATAAGTATTAATAGTATATTTTTGTTATTAATTAAAATTTATTAAACTTTTTGGAAATTTTACTTTTAATTTAATAATTTTTATAGTATGTTTAAAAAATGTGTTACTTATTTTTATTAAAAAAATTAAGCTCTTATTTAATTATAAATTATTATATCAATAAAAAAATCATTTATGTAATATTTAATTTAAAAAGATCTTTTATTATAATGATTTACTATATATTTTTAAGATAAAATTTAAGGTGATATTAATTATAATTGAGAGTGACCAAGAATTACTAGTAATTTTATGTTATTAGTAATATAAGGTGACATTAAATAAGTTAAAATGTTCTCTCAAATATAAATTGACATAAGGTAAAAGAGAACATAGATTAAAATTACTAATAATTAAAAATTGAAATTGAGAGTGGGAATTCCGATTTGGTTGGAGATGAAATCCTTGACACGAGAAAGAAAGAGAGGAGTGTCGGGCAAATCGGGGAACAAGTGAAAACCATGGATCATATTTGGATATTCAATTAACTCAGCCTCTTTACCCGATTTCCTCAACCACTCACAGTACCTCTTTTGCCAATCCTTAATCGAGTCAAAACCCGCCACCACCACAAGGCTATTCGGGTAATCCAAACCCGAAATATCCATTGCATTCGGCCCACATACATTAACCGCTCCATGGTCTCGATCCGACCCGTTTGGCAAAAACGCCTTCCAATACCAATCGGTTTTCTCCACCGAAACCATCGGGTCAACCGTCATTAGCTCCGACTCGGTTCGCTCTTCTCCTCCAAAAAACGGTTCAATCGAAACCAACCCGATAATTTTCACGAACCGGAGCCCCTCCTTGCAAACCCGAACCGCCACGTGGTGAGCTATGTTCCCACCCGCACTATCTCCCGCCAAAAAACACTTGCTGACGTCAGCGGTGTTCCCCAAAACGGCGCCGTTTTCGTCGAGGTACTTAAGGACGTCAAAACCGTCGTCGTTTTGGGAAGGGTAACGGTGCTCGGGAGCGAGACGATAGTTAACGGAGACGATAACGGCGTTTAGGGAACGGCAGAAGAAGCGGCAAAAGTCGTCGTACGGTTTTGAAGCCGGAGACAAGAACACGAAGCCACCACCGTGGAAAAATACGACAACGGGGAGGGATGCCGCGGAGGCAGCGGCGGAGGGGACGAAGACGCGGAACCAGATGTTGCGAGTGGTGTCAACGATGACGTCGGAGGTGGTGACCCCGTCGACGGGGTTAGGGTTTGGAGGGACGTTACGGGTGAAGAAGCTGATGAGACGGCGGTTGACGGTGCCGTTAGAGCGGAGAGAGTTGCCGATGACGAATGAGAGAAAGGAGACTGTTAAGCGCACCTTGCATGGAAGGGTTGGTTTGGGGGTTGTTGTAGGCATTGTTGGAGGTGTTGACTGTTGAGTCGACTCGCTTGACTCAGTAACTCTGATAGAAGGTGGTGTCTATGGAGATATATATGTTTTATGGTTCTCTGGAAGAAAATGTGAAGGGAGTGGGAAGTGTTATATATGCATGTGTTCCAGGCTTATTAATCACAGTAGGGATATGCAATCAATTCTGGATAAGAAATTTAACTTTTTTAAGATAAGGAAATGTGTCCAATAAAAGACTGCTGACCAATTAATAATTTTTTGAAAATGTTTTCATTTAAATTAATGATATCAAATTCTTTTTTTTCATTTTTATTTTAGATGTCTCTTTGTTTTAGAAGAATTAAGTTTTGTTTGATTAAATTGGGTTAAAATATATAGTTTATAGCTCAAATTTTATAAGTTATCATATTATAAATGTTTGTTAAAATGACTAAGAAATATTAAAATTATTTTGAATTGGTGTAACTTAATTAAACTGTTAAGGATAAATATACTTTTGTTCACTTGAGTTTGTATCGAATTCGTAACATAGAATGTGAAATTTGTAGTTTAAATTCAATCTAAACCTATTTAGCTTAATTTGAATAAACTTGATGTTAACTAAACTCGCAAAATTCCAATAATAATAATAAAGAATCAAACTTGGCAGAATTTTGGCTTTACTTTTACAAATTTAAATTAATATAATTTTTTTAACCTACTTAGAAATAACTCTCTTTTAAAAGTTATATTTTTTTTATCAAATAATTTTACTAATTTTTATTTTAAAAAATAAATCAATAAATTTTAAAATATATTATTATAAACATATTATTTAACCAGATTAAATAAGTGAACAAGTGGAAGAAAAGTCAAAATTCAAACGTTGTACTAGAATTGTAATTTTAAAACATGGATATACTCAATATATTGTATGCGTTCGACCATTCTTTGAAATTGACGTGCCTACGGGTGAAACAGATAAAGAGTGGACCCTGTTAATTGGTGGACAGGTCAATGAATGATTTTATACCATCCAACTAACCATATCATAATTTATTATTGAACAATATAGCCAAGATCTGTACCACAAAATATCTCAACTGTAACCAATAATCGTTTAACATGTTGCAATAATTTGTGAAGTTGACGAGTGTGATTTATTAGAGTGTAACAGGGCTTCAAAGCAAGTAGTCTAGTATCTTGAATCAAATTCAAAGGATACTTTCTTTGATTGAGACAAATACCTTTAGCAAGTACTAAGTCCTCAACATAAGTAAGCATAATTATAAATCCTTTAGATTATCCTTTTGTAAATAATGAACAATTAGCTTTGGATTGAGTATAATTTAATGAAAGTAGAACTTCAGTTGGTTTCACATTTCACTTATGGCTATCTTGTCTAAACCCATAGATTGACTTAGTAAGTTTGCAAACTTAATTCTTGTCTTGCAGAGAGGTTCCATATAAATATCTTAGTTGAGGTTACCATGCTAGAAGGTTGTATTTACATTTGGCTGAAAGTTTTCATAAAATTAACCTCTTTAGTCTACTTGCATTTGGTAAGATTTTTATAGGAAGAAAAGAGGTTAAGGTTCAAGTTTGATTTTTATTCAGAACTTGTAACTCAAAATTGATAGCATCTCTCCAACAACCATGTTAAAGAAGTTGCAAGAGTGTAGTGTTTACATGACAGATAGATGGTTTGATGAGCTAATTGTTGTGACCTATCCCAATAATAATCTTTCAAATAACTAAGAGGCCTTCTTACTCTCGAAGAATGTTTCACATTAATACCTTGATTAATTTTTCAATTTGTTGCTGTTATTCATTATAGAAGCCTAAATTTCTATATCTTAACTGTTATATATTAGTATCATTTGTGGAGGAACATGATCTAAATTTTTAGAAGTTTGATTTTCAAAACCAATAAACCATCAACAAACATATTTTATTGAATAAGAGGAACATGAATACTATGATTATAAAAAAGTTTGGTCATAAAATAAAACATCTTATATACAAATAAAAGTTTCTCTACTCTTTAAGTCATAAAGAACACAACTTTTTCTACCATAAAATGCATTTCTTAACTCCCATATCGAGCTTAGTTTATTAAATTGAATGATAGAAGTAAAGCAAAAGCAACCAAATGTTTTTAAATATGAAATGTCAAAAATTTGACCATTATATAAAATTAGATAAAGTATTTTGTAAAAACTTAGCAATCATTCTATTGATAAGAAACATAACATGATTTACTGCATGGTTCTAATAACGTTTAGGAATTACAAATTGAAATATAAGCGCTTTAACAATTTCTAAAATGTGTTAATACTTTTTTTTCACTATATCATTTTAATTGCTTCCTGATATGGAATTTTTTAATAAATTATAAATTAAAATGAAGTTGAATAGGGTATAAGTTAACTTTAATTTATGAAAAATATATTTATTTTTTATATATTTTTCTTTTTATAAATATTTATCCAAAATTTTGTATAAATTAAAGTATATTATTTTGCTTTAACACATTTTCATATGAGAATTAGGGCTTCCCATGTAGCTATGGACTTGCTGGCAACATCGTACATAACAGAAGCACATGGAGATTGGTAATGCACCTCAGGCAATGGATAGTACGAGTTCCATCTCATATGGACATTTGGTAATACATGTCATTACTTGGGCTTTCAAATAATTTGAGGCTGTGTTTGTGTTAACACTATTACACTCGCAGGGTAGCTTTTTACATTCTATCTACTGTTCTTAATTTCTTTATTTTTATGCTCTGTTGCTTCATTAAAACGGGGTTAAAACTACCTCAGATGCCAATTTCAAATGACAGATTTCGTGTTAGAATCATCGGCAACGTAGTCCACCTTGTCTGTGCTTCCACTTTCCATGGCTATGCCACTGTTTTTTCTGGGAGTTATGAACTCAGAATCGTCAACCATGTGAAAATTTAGCGGAAGAGAGTGAAAGGGAGAGCAATGATGTATTGGGATCTTGTGTGAAATAGAAACATAGAAAGATTCAATTTGATATGTTTCTAATAATAGTAGCTCTTTTTGACGAAGAAAATATAGGTTGAAATAATTCTCTACAGTTGATTTATACGTTTAATAATAAATAATATTTAATTTAAACAGATGAAGAGATTTGAATATATATATATAAAGAGGTGCAATTAAAAAAACTAGGGTAAAAAACCAACCTCCAATACATTATAATAGAACTATTTTGATATTGTACTTATAAATTCGTTGTAAATATTAGTGGAGTACTACTAAATTAGAATAATTTAAATACATAATGCTGATATTATTTAATAAGTTTTACTAATTAATGCTTATTAGCTTAAAAATTAAGACATAAACAAGATTTTGGTCCTTCAAAAATTTATGATATTTTCATTTTCATTCTCGTATTATAGTTTTGTTAGTATTTTCTTAAAATTTTCTATTATAAGCTAAGTGACATCTAATTTGGTTAAAAAAATATATGACATAATTTATAAGAGTGATAATATGATATCTTTTAAATGTCAATTTTAAAGTGAAAATTTTATTAAAAAAGTGAAGAATGCGATATATTGTTCATAACACAATTTATGTCCAAGTTAAATTATATAAACTAATTTAAATATTATGTAAACAAATAATAGAATAAATTATTGAAAAAAGAGACTAAATAGAAATAAAAAACAAATTTTGGCAAGACTAAAATTAAAAAAAGAATGATTGGAAATTTTAAACGAATAAACCTTATCAAAGAGAAAAGATTAAAAAAGTTTATTAAACACAATAAATATATAATAAAAATTATAATAGAAATGTATTAATACCATTTTTATTTTTTTTTACTTTTCCATCCTATTTATCTTTTTACTTTTCATACAACCTCATTAATAACTATTTTTCCCCCAGCACTAACAACAGTACAACATATCCCTTATAGTTCACATTTTTATTTGTTAATTTGCTTTGTAATAAAATCCTTGACGTGAGAAATAAACTGAGAAGTCTGGGGCAATTCGGGAAACAAGTAAAAAGCATGAACCGCGTTTGGAAAATCGATTAACTCTGCCTTCTTTTCTGATTCCCTTAACCACTCATAATATCTCCTTTGCCAATCCAGCAACGGGTCAAACCCACCCGTGAACACCAGGGTATTCGGGTAATCCAAACCCGAAATATCCAACTTATTAGGCCCACTCACATTAACCGATTCATGGTCTCGATTCGACCCGTTTGGCAAAAAGGCCTTCCAGTGCCAATCGGATCTATCCAACGAAATCAAAGGGTCCCGTTTTAGTTCCATCTCGGACTTAGTTCTTTCCTCTCCCCCGAAAAACGGTTGGATAGAAACCAACCCGATAACTTTCACAATTCGGAGCCCCTCTTTGCAAACCCGAACCGCCACGTGGTGCGCTAAGTTCGCACCCGCGCTATCACCCGCCAAAAAACACTTCGTGACGTCAGCAACACGAGGCAAAACGGCGCCGTTTTGGTTTTGGTCGAGGAATTTTATTACGTCGAAACCGTCGTCGTACTGGGAAGGGAGACGGTGTTCGGGGGAGAGACGGTAATTAACGGAGATAACGACGGCGTTATAGGAACTACAGAAAATGCGGCAAAGGGCGTCGTAAGGGATCGAAGCTGCGGACATGAAAGCGAAGGCGCCGCCGTGGAAGAACACAACGACGGGGAGGGATGCTGCGGCGGAGCTGATGGCGGAGGAGGGGACGAAGCATCGGAACCAGAGGTTGCGGGTGGCGTCGACGGTGACGTCGGAGGAGATAACGCCGTTAACGGGGTTAGCATTAGGGGGGAGCTTGCGGTCGACGACGTTGAAGAGACGGCGGTTGATGGTGCCGTTGGAGCGGCGACAGAAGTCGCTGACAGCGGAAAGGACAGAGAGGGAGAAACGCACGTTCCATGGAAGGGTTGGTTTGGTTCCTGCAGCCATGGTTCGTGTTTTTGGTGGTGACTTAACTCGGTTGGCTCAGTGACTCGGACACAATCTCACAATTGAAGAAGCTAAGTGAGGATATGTGCTTTTATGCTCAATTTCCCGACCCAGTCTTTCTAGTTTCCGTAGTTGATTTTTAGTATCTTTCACTAAGTGTAATCTAATTAAACGTTGATATTTCAATGGACGAATGAAAATTAGAGTTTAAAAATAAAAATTTATATAAAAAGTAAGGATTAAATTTTTTAAAAAAATCATGATCATGGATTATCAATAAAGATTAAAATGAATTCTTTTTGGGTCAAAATTTGTGTGTAAATCGATTTAGCAGAGTTTAAAGTTACTTGGAAGTACAAAACATGCTTAAGCGAAATTTGAAAAGCTAAGGGGTGAGAAGGGAACGGTCCAGTTTTAATTAGAAAAAGAAACATGAGACAGACATGTAATAATATTTTTTCAAATTATTTAATTTTGAAAATGATGTCTAAACCTGTGAAATTGATTCGTGTGTCTCTTAGCATTATTTTATGGCTTACAGTTTTTTTTATGATTTAATTAATTTCTTATTTTTTATTATATCACTCATCATATTTTTATTTTCCTTTTTTTAATCATACAAATTATATAAATATTTTTTTCTTAAAAAATTTTAAAACGTAACCATTATTTTGTAATCACACCGACCGATTATTTCAATATAACCCATTATTTATAAAAATAAAATATGCTTTAACAAATAATATTATTAATTTTGATGACTTTAATATTAATTTTAAATATTATTTTTTATTAAATATTATTATACTTTTATATTTTTAATGTAAAAATTACTTTTTAAATAGAATTAGAATAGGAAAACAACCCATTGTAATAATAAGACTAGGAAAATTAGGGTCTTGTGGGAAAACACAAAATACCTTCCAATGCATGTTCCTATGCTGTTGATTCCTAATTAAGTTCCGAAGAGAGGACTTTCCCATACATAAAATTTTAAGTCTAAAATCTTATAGATAACAAAATTATCAGAAAAAATGGGTTCACTGTATTTTGCTTATTTTTTAAAAATATTTTCAAAAAGAAATAAAAATAAAAATCCGTCAAAATCTTTGAATGCTGAGGCCACATGCTCTTCATTCACTATACCACATGCTTGTCTTCTTTAACCAATATCGATGGTAGATATGACACCATTAATTTCTATCCAAAAAGTTGAGGCCCCTTCAGCATTATTTGAGGGACCATTAATTGTATTTATTTACTTTTTTTAACTGTTAAGAATTTACACAAAAATTTAAAATAAGTATTTTCTTTTATTTTATAAAACTTATTATTATATTTATTATTTGAAACAAACATATTTTTTTAATTAAATACACATTAATCAATACATCAGAATTTCTCTTGTAAAAAAATTAAATTAAATTAAATTTCCACACTCTTTTCAAAGTGACCATGATTTTAAAGCAGAGAAAAGTGGATCTCAAACTCTTGGTTAACTTTATAATGGACACATTGAATCAAGAGTGGCAGAAAAGGGTCCTCATCATCAAATTTAGGTTCAAACCCTTATTCAATTGTTCTATCGCTTACCTTTGATAAAAATTGACGAATGTGCAGATGATGTTTGAGATTATCAATTTGTATCTGCGGATATGCTGCTTTCAGAGCAGAAACGTAAAACTTATAAATTAAAGAGTAAATTGGGTTTGCCTTTACATAAAATCATTAAGTTTCTAAAAGGTGTAGGTAAGTAACATTATTATTTTTATTAAAATCTCATTTTAAAAGATTTAATTTTTTTTATTTAACTTGTATTCAATTATATTTCAAAATTAGAATAAAAAGCTAATTTAATTTAATTTAATTTAATCTCTTCAATTTTCAACTTGAAATCTTTTTATTTTTAATTAAACTTAAAGATTAAGAACTTATTTACATAAAATAATCATAATTATTAATGTCATATTAAATATATATAATAGATAGTGGGAGTTAGTAATTTATTTAAAAATATATATAAATACTCTTAAAATTTTAAGATATTTAAACAATCATAACCTTTAATTTAAAAAAAATATAATATATTTTTCTAAATTTATAACGATAATAAACACTTTTTTCTATTTGTTACCGTTTATAATTAAGTTCCTCTACTATAATTTTTTAAGACCTAGGAATTCTACTTTTCTATCCAAAATTTTCACAAAATAAATTGATTAAATTATTTTATATATTCTTTCACTCAGAATTCATTGACTAATTAAAATGTCAAATTTTATTAAAAAATCTCAATTTTCTCTTCTTCAGGACGTAACATTGCACGCTACTAAAATCTTTAAAATTTATTAAAAACTAAATTTCTAAGTTCTAAAACCTTAATATTATTTTATATTCTAATTCCATCATAAATCTTCAAGTATTTAGATAAAAAACAATGTTGTAAATTTTAGGTAAAATAAAATAAATGAAAGAAATTGATTTACATGAAAAAAGGAACTTACATTCCTTTTTTTGTAAATCAATTTTTACTTTATTTTAGTTGACCTAAAAAATCTTTAATTCTTTTGCATTCCTAACAAGTGGTTAAATTGGTTATAGAAAACTATTCAGATTAAACACTGAAAGATTGCATAATTTGCTTGTATTGCAGCCATGAATGTTGCTGCCCCAGTTGTTATAAAAGGGGGGTATTGATCTAGGACAGCAGTGGTTACTCTGCATTTGAAGACTAATTTATAAAAATATGACCCATGAAGTAGTATTGAAGGAATTGGTGGACAAGATCTAGCAAGATACTTCAGTTAATGCACACCAAATCTTAATATAATGCATTATTATATGATATTTGGATACCCACTCTGGCAATAATATTAAGAAATTACACACACACAATCTTGCCATGCATGTTTACCTTTTGCTGAGCTCTACTCATCGCACACACTTCCTTTTGAGCTCTATTCAATACATATTTAAATTAGACCTAGAGAGGTTTTGAGAAAATTGACTTGATTAAGAAGGTGGACCAATTACATGTATGTAATATTATCATTAGATCTAGGAATTTGATTAGTTACTTAATGAAAAATAATTGATGGCTGTGTCTGCTGCATATAAAAATTGGATAGAAAAGCCCACTAGTCAAAAGCATGAAATCTCTTGCTGCAAAAGCAAGAATGTTAGCATAAGAGCCAACCCCCAAGTCATGCTTGTTCCACCTCCTACTTAATCAATCAAGTGAATATTCCTGAAAACTTTTTAAGGCCTGATTTGGAATGGCTTGCTTCTACATCAAACCCTTTTTGTCAGCAGTGTTGTCATCCAGCAGCAACAAAGCATCACGTCTTTGCCTCTTTAAGCCCAAATGCTTTGCCCTCTACTGCTGGTAGAATCCTTTTCCTCCTTAGTCTGCTTCACCTCCCTTTTTAATCAACAATGATACTTTGTATTCTTTCTCACACACAGAGTACTTTTTATTTTTGACATCCAATTTTTCTTTTCTTATTGTTGCTACTCTTTTAATAACTTAAAAAATTGCCTAAAAACCTTAAATCAAAATAACTAATCACTACTAAATTTGAGCACCCTTAAGACAAATCACCCAACTCATTTCAGTGTATCTATTGCTATTTTTAAGCGCATATTACCACTCTTATTAAATAAATTGTTTAAAATATTATTTTTTCTTTCTTATAACTATAATAATGATATAATTATTTTAAGAAAAAAAATAATCAAATAAAAATGATAACAAATGCATAAAAGCATAAGTAGACCCTCCCACTCATTTTTTTCAACACTAAATTATGACCCAATAGATTCCCAAGCTATTATTGATCAGCACGTTCTAATTTTTAACAAAATTCCAATATATACACAACTAACCAGCCAAAAAAAAAGGAAAATGGTACATACTTCCAACATGGATAAAGATACCACACACAAATTACCCTATGATATATCTTGTATTATTTATTATAAACTATAATCGAGAGCCAACGGAAACGTAAACAAATCCTAAATTGAGCACTTTGGGAGTCCCAAATGTATAATAGTGTCACACAGCACGGCCAGCTAAAATCACCACTAAACTTGGAATCTAGAATGCATAATCTAATTAACAGATTATAACAATAATCATTTCAAATCGGCGAGTCTTTTGGTGATGAAATCCTTGACTTGTGAAATCAACTGAGATGACTCGGGCAAATCAGGGAACACATAAAACGCATGAATCATTTTAGGGTACTCAATCAATTGGGCCTTTTTACCTGATTTCTGCAACCACTCGTAATACCTCCTTTGCCAATCTTGTAACGGGTCAAACCCACCCACAAACACAAGGGTATCCGGGTAATCCAGACCCGACAAATCCTCCGCATTTGGCCCGCTCACATTCGCCGCCCCGTGATCGCGATCCGACCCGTCCGGCAACAACACCTTCCACAGCCAATCGGTCCTCGCCACCGACACCAGCGGCGACCCCTCCAGTCGCACCTCCGAGGCTGTTCGCTCCTCCCCGCCAAAGAATGGCTGGATCGATACCAACCCGACGATCCGGACTTCCCGGAGCCCCGACTTGCAGGCCCGGACCGCCACGTGATGGGCCAAATTGGCGCCAGCGCTGTCGCCGGCAAGGAAGCACGTTGACACGTCAGCATTTTCCGGCAACGCGGCGCGGTTTTCGTCGAGGAATTTTATGATGGACTCGCCGTCGTCGTATTGCGAAGGATACCGGTGCTCCGGGCAGAGGCGGTAATTGACGGAGACGACGACGGCGGGAATTCGGCGGCAGAATCGCCGGCAAACGGCGTCGTACGCAAACGAATCCGGCGAAAGGAACGCGAAACCGCCGCCGTGGAAGAAGACGACGACGGGGAGGGAGGCGTTGGCGGCGGCGGCGGTGGGGGTGAAGACGCGGAACCAGAGGTTGCGAGTGGCGTCGACGATGACGTCTTTGGTGGAAACGCCGTTAACAGGGGTGGCGTTTGGTTGGGTTTTGCGATCGAGGAAGTTCATAAGACGGCGGTTAACGGTGCCGTTAGAGCGGCGTGCGGCGTCCGTTAAGGCTGAGAGGAAGGATATTGAAATTCGAGTCTTCCATGGAAGAACGGGTTTTGGGGTTTCGGAGAATTTGGATTTTGCTGCCATTGTTGTTGCGTTCCGAGAGTTTGATTGAGAGTGACTGAAACGTAAAGATGGGGAATCGCATGCAATGCTAATGGGCAAAGACGACACTTTATTTTAATATATTTTTTGTCGTTTTTATTGGGACTTTATCGCCGTTTAGGAAAGTTAGTAGTTGGCTAACCCCACCTTGCAAATAAATGAATTTGCCAGTCTGCCATTTTTATTTTCTTAATATTTTCTCTGTGGAAAAAGCCTAAGAATAGACCAATTAATAGAAATTTGGTCAAGCATCAAAGAATCACTTTAAGTGTTTTATTAGAGTATTAATTATAAATTCTAAATTAATAAGAAATTTTAAGTTAATGATTAATATTTGTTAATTTACAAATTTATTTCTTAATTTTTATATTAATGCTCTACTTATACTGCATATTTTTTTTTGATAATTTTTAATTTTTCTTATTTTATTTACTAACTTGAAATTTTTTATAGCGTGAAAATTTTAAAAGTGAAATTTGAATGTTATATGTGAAAGATTAAAAAAATTATCAGTTTTATACAAGTAAAAATAGTAATTAAAAAAATACTATATGAATATAACTTTTTATTTAAGATTAATATATATAATAAATAATTTTATTTTCTTACTTATCAAAAATTGATGCTATTCTCTTAAAACTTTAGAAAAATAACTCATTTAAAATATGAAAAGTTAAGAAATATATAAATGAAATAAATAAAAATTAAACTGAGTACTTGAATTCAAAAAATAGTATCATGCAATTTAAAATTTTTAGAATTATATATAGGTGTCAATTATAATTAAAAACAACATTAATTAAACTTATGGAATTATGCATAAATTTTATCTTCTAAATATTTATTATCATTGTATTAAAACAATGTTTCTGGTTTGTAACTCAATTTTTCCAATAATGCTTTTAGTTATTAAATAAAAATATCAAATATATAAGCAATGAATTGATTTTGTTAAAATATATTTCAAAGATATATGATAATATAAATGGGAAAGGTCATTATTGGGCGATTTATTGGTGGGGGACGGTTGGAGACTTCCAGATTACCTTAGAATGTTTGAATTTTTAGCCCAAACTCACCTTCTCACAACCGTACGTTGTGACATTTATAAACATTAGGTTATTTCTTTCTTTCTTTTCAAATATTACAAATGTTTTATAATTATAAATAATTTTTAATATTTCTTTTTCCATTTTAACTAACCAAATACATCTGTTTTATTTTTTTACTAAAATTATAATGCATATGCTAAGCTTTTAAATTTTGTTTAATTATTATTTTTTAAGTCTAAAGAGGCTATTTACAAATAATATTTAGTGATGTGAAGATGTTAGGCAAAATTTCTTATTTTCTGTCTGAAACTAAAAGCACTCCGCGTGGTTTGAAGGTCAATCAGTATAAATTCAATGTGATCTTCCATCTTTCTTTATCTTTTATCTTTTATAGCGTTCAATTTCTGTTTGTTCAGCGAATAATTATTTTATTTTTAGATTATGTGTAAGTTACTTTAATTATTGAATGTATAAATTATTTTTAATCACTTGTATTTTACTTTATTATTATTATATATAATACAATATTAAAATAAAGGCTATTGTGTAAAATTAGTTTTATAGCTCTACAATATACATGTATTTTATTTTTAAATAAATATATAAAAATTTAATAATGCAAAAAAATTATATTTTTATAAACAATTATGTATATAATCAAATTCTTTTAAATAATATTTTTAAAAATTTATTTTGACTTAAACTTATAATTAAAAATATTATGTATTAAAATGATAAAAATTTAATAAAATGAAATAATTTTAAAATATCATTTATTTTAAAATAATTTTTTTGGGTATAGTATTAATTTTCTAATTAAACTATTAATAATCATAAATTTAAGATATAAGATTTAAAAAAAATAAAAATAAAAAATAGAACAATATTACATAATTTTTTATGAATATTAAAAAAGTAATAACTTTAATTTCTAAGTTTATAATAAAATTAACAAAAACGTAAGTAAAAAATAAAACTACTATAGTAAGTTTATATATAATTTTCAATTAATTTGAATTTAAAAATATTTATGTAAAAAATTGTAAAAGAAAATAGTTCCAAATATTTTACTTTTAAAAATAATTTTTTATTTATAATATATAAATTAATTAAATTTAACGAGGATTGTTACTCTTCGTTAACATCAAAGTTGATCTTTGAAGCACTTATTTGCTTAGGAGACCAGTGAAAACTGGGCATTCAAATTTTCAGAAGTGTGTGAGAAACACGCTCCTATGCATTTGTCATCCGAAATTGCAATTTAATAAAAATTGGGAATGAATCTACTTATGAATTTCAATTTTTTATTAATTAGTTGAATACAAGAAAATTTAAATAAAATTGAACAATATTTCTCAATTCATCACAAAAATGCATCCATTTGCGAATTTGGAATCATAAGATTTCTATTACAATTAATTTATGATAGAGGAAGAACAAAGGAGGCGCAAGCATTGGAGAGAGCATCAAGAAAGAAGAAACCCTAAACCTACTAACTTTAATTAAAACACATTATATCCTTTTTTTATATATTTAATACCACTTTTTTGTTGCAATTCTTATATATATATTGTAAATAATTTATTTTATGTAGATTTCATCTCAAATAATAAAATAAAACTTAAAAATAATAAAAATTAAAAACAATGAGTAGATTATGTTAAAAGTTAAGATAGTGGATATTTTTTTAAAAAAAATTAAAAATTAATATTTTAAAATTTAAAAATAGGTAGAATTTTTAGAATTTTAGGAGTGTGTTAGGAGATAAAAATTGACTTGAAAAAATTTTAAATAGTCAAAAAGTGGTGGATAAATTTTTAGAAGAGTGAATGAAATATATATAAAAAAAATAATGATTATTACAAAATAAATAATAATAAAATGATGGAACCATTTCTTTAAAAAATAGAACAAAGAAAAGGTTTAAACAAAATGTAAGTGTTTTGATAAGAAAAAGAGAAGAAAAAATAAATTTTAAAAAATTAAAGCTCCACGAGAAAAAGAAAGAGAAAAAGAAACCAAAGCTCCAATCAAATATTTAAAATTAATTATTAATCATACTAGTTATTAATAAAAATAAAAACATAAAATATTATTAGGAGACGCGTTGATGATTATTTAATATTATCAAAACGTTTATTAATATTAAAAAAGACTTAAAATATAATTAATATTTTTTTAATCTGTTGTATTTTAATTTTTCAGTTTATAAATTTACGTGAAAGAGTAAATAATAAAAATGCATTTATAATAAATTTTTATTAAAAACAATATTTAATATTATTAATGTATTGAATTAAATGAAATTTTATAAATTTAAATAAAATATTGTATACAAATTATTATTATTTCCTTAAATGCTACATCTCGATGAAAAATGCGAGCACCTGAAAAGACGTGAAAGTAGTTTCCGCATGAGAAGTGACCTAACAACGCTCGCGTTATTCTTCAATTGATGGGAGCAATACTTCATTAATGAATACATTTATTGCAAAAAGAAAGTGGTGTAACGTTTCTAAATTTAATTTCAAATTTTCATAGTTAAGACACGTGGTAAGAATCTATAATAAATATATCATAATTAAAAAATACAATTTTATATTTTTAAAATGATTCTATGTTTATATCATAAAATTATTTTTAATAATAAATTTTATATTATTTTGACTTAATTATATAATAATATTATTAAAATTATTAATAAAAATAATATTTTAAAATATAATTTATTTTTAAGTAATTCTTTTATCATATAGTGTAAAAAAATTTAAATTAAATATTAACGATTAATATATCTTAATCATAAATTAAATAATATTTTTAAAAATAAAATATAAAAATTAATTTAAAATTATTTTTATTTAATATAAAAATATTTAATTAACATTATATAATATTTTAAAATTATTTTTTATCATTTAAGTACATAAATTGAAATAATTCGAAATGTCCAATCTCAGCAATCAACAGTGAAAATAATTTAGTGATATGTTTCCAAAAACAAATATGATTTCACAGAATCAACCGACATGGGCTTGAATATATGGGTTTTTGGGTCAAAACTTGAATTTATGGTATGTTTTTGGAAATTCAACAAGGCTATTGGACTTTGCATAAACAGGTCATGGGTTGCTAAGAATTGGAAAAGGCCCAATAAATTTCTGTAATAAGAACGCACCATCTTTGATTGTCTATTAGACTCTTTAGTGGCATTAGACAAAAATAAAAGACTCTATAGTGTCTCCTATGGTTGGGTTGAGCCTCTAATGTTAGGTTTGTTCATGACTTTTGTAGTAACTTTTGCCATATGATATTAGACTCTTTAGTGGCATTAGACAAAAATAAATACACTTTTTTAAATTTGAATTTTTTAATTAATAAATAACTGTCATTTTAAAAAGAGAAATAATATTTTAATTAATAAATTAGTACTCGCTTTAATTGATTATAAATCTCATTAATTAAAACAAAACAAAAAAAATTATATCTTTATACCATATGATATTACTCAATAATAAGAAAGAATTGAAATTAAAAAAAAAAATATTAGCACACCTAATTTAATGAAAACCATTTATATTATATAGATACTTATGAAAGAAGACGAACGCTAGGAATATACTCTTTATTATTAGTTAAGATTTATTAAAAAAAATATTAAAATTTATAATTTTTGATAAATTTTAGTTAATAATAAATGATGTATTAAAAAAAATATTATTAATATTAATCCAATAAAAAAAATACAAGTGACACAATGTACCGTTCCCTAATTTATATATTTTTCATGAACATCAATGAGTAGATGTAAATCTAGCTATCTTAAATATCTTTACCACTACTTTTGGACATTGCTGTAGTAAAATAATTCTTAAAATTAAAAAATTGGTAAACACGTTTTATTTTTTAAAAAATTATCCAATAAAATTACTAATGATAGCTAAAGTGGTTAATAGTTAGATATTTATTAAATTAATTATCCATC